CATCTTCGATTCTGACCCATCTGGGTTTCTTACAACCCCGCCATGACGCTCGGATACGCGGCCGGATTTCGACACACCAAATTGCTTGTCCACGAGGACTACACCAGGGGGTAGCCGAGAAAACTCCCACTTTCTCGGCCATCGCTAATTTTTCTCTATTTTCAGCCAAATTTCAAGCTAATTTCTTGCCAAAAAACACAAAAACTTTCAAAAAATCAAATTTCAGTAAATCAAATTTCAGTGTAGATTTCCCATGAGTTTTACACTCTGATGATGTAAAATTGCTAGCTTCGTAATTGCTGAGAACCTGGGACATGTAGAACTGGCACCCAGAAGGAAGTGAAATGAGCGATTCGTTTCTTTTGGCACTAGTTAAATTGAATCCGATATTTCTGATAACGAATGGTTTCAAACTTGAAGACTCTTCATTTTTATTTGAGTTGCTGCATCCAGAGTTGAACTGCAAAAAACTTGAAAACTGAACGTAGAAATGACAACCACTATTGCTTCAGTCATTACTGCAGGGTTTGAACGCCATATGGCAAGTCAGCTTCTTGGCCGCGACACAGGCTGCGCGTCGGTCTGGGTGGACTCCGATTTCGTCGAGCCTTCCCATGATTTCTCTGAGGTCTATGACTCTGGCCTGGGTGAGATCGTGGAGCAATCTCACTTATTTGATATGTGCCAGAAATGCAAAATGTAGGTTTGACAATTGGAATAGTTAGAAAAAAAACGGAATAATAGTTCTCCAAAAAACCTCCTCGAAACAACATCTCTTATCGAATGCGATTTGAAATGACAGATTGATCAAATTTTGAAAAGACACGAATCTGAAATTATCAGCGCTCATGAAAAGATCCATGCTATCATACTTGTAAAATTCCGGGTTGGCCCGCCAAAGCCCGGGCCGGGCCTGAGGAAATTTTCAAGGCCCGGGCCCCGCCCGGAAGGCTCGGTAGCAAAAATTTTGTCATTTTGAGCCAAATTTTGAGCTCTCAATACAATTTTCTCCATTATTTTTTGTGTTTTTGGATTGTTTGTCTGTTTGATCGAAAAATATTTTTAAACTCGAAAAAAAATTTTTGATCGAAAAAAATCACATAAGGGTCCCCCCTTATGTGTTTTTTAAAATTTTCAAAACTTGTGGATTGACCGGCCCGCCGGGCCGGGCCGGGGCGGGCCGGGCCCGTTACAAGTATGGTTCTATTCATTGTTTTTCGATGTAATTTGGACCAAAAAAGTGTAGAAACCCAATGAAAAACTGAATAGACCTCACAGAAAGCCATGCCAAACAAAAATTGAGAAATTTCGAACAGAAAAGCTTTCATTAAAAATTTCATATGGGTTTGCCCGTCAAAAACTTTGAAAATTTCGAAAAAATTTACATTGAAAAAAACTGATGATTTCTTCTTCTCAAAGTTGAAAAATGAGCGAAAATCAAAAAATCGCACAAATAACCATGTGGAACCCAAAATAGGTGCCTAGACATCTCATTGAAAAAAGCAAAAAATAATTTCAAAAGCGAAGGAGTCGAACCCAAGACTTTCAGCTTATAACTTTCAGCTTATAACACGCGCCCACAACCACTCAGCCACCTCGCTGCTAAAAACAACAGAACGCGTGGGCGTACATGTGAGCGGTGTTCCCAGGAGGCGAGAACATTTTGTCATTTTGAGCCAAATTTTGAGCTCTCAATACAATTTTCTCCATTATTTTTTGTGTTTTTGGATTTTTTGTCTGTTTGATCAAAAAATATTTTAAAAACTCGAAAAAAAATTTTTGCTCGAAAAAAATCACATAAGGGAATGACAGGCCCGCCGGCCCGGCCCGTTACAAGTATGCATGCTATGGAAAATCACGTTTTCATGGCTAACGATATTCGTCGTAACAAGGGATATCAGAGAAGTATGGAAACAATAGACGAATATCGAAAAGGAGAAATTAGTCTAATTTGCACTTATTCATCCGATGGAGCTCAATTTAAGAGGATTTCAAGGTTTGTAATCGAAAAACAAACACTTACAGTATCGCCACTTTTATCATAGAAGAGAAGCTACTCCTTTTTTACTCAACTTTGAGGGATTGAATATCAAATCGAAAAAAGATGGAAAAGCATTATGTCTGATAGCTTTGGAAAAAGCATTATGTCAATGGCTTAGGCCGTAAAATAATGTAATGATTACACTGTTTTCAAACAAGTAAAAAACTTATCTATTCAAATAGAAGTTGATGGGCGCAAGACAACCTTCACATTGATTATAATGAGTGTGTTATGCGATATGAAGGTATGCAAACATCAACTATGTTTAATTACGCATATGATCATGTTGTTTCAGGAACAAGCGTTACTGACAACGCTTACCAACTGGAATAACATTCAAGGATGTTCCAGCTGTATGGCTGTTGCTACAAGAAAGACGAATGGAAAAGTCACATTTGATAATAGTTTTCCGTCACAACTAAGGATTGACGAAGAGATGATTGAGGCAGCTGAAAGATGCATTGATGGTTACACATGTTGGCAAGGTAGATATGGAAAGGGAGCACATCTCGGAACAAAGCATCATTTCAGTGCCAGCAATCTACTCTTACATTCCACCTACGCTGATCAATATCGATCCATTCCACGTCCGGGGAGCGGGTGTATGCAAGGACATTGTCCAAGGTAAAAGTTCCAAAACTATGAAAAAGAAGAACTGAGATATTTCAGAATTTCAAAAACCAACGACATGGAGGGATTTCAAAATCATGGCAAACAAGTTAGAGATGCTACAGTTTTCTGTTGACTCTATCATTCCTTACACGAAAGAAAAAATTAAATCCCAGTCTTATAAGAAGCTGATCAAGGCCACTGGAAGAGAATTGGATAAACTCTCAATCATAACTAGTGCGTTAGTTGGAATAACTGGATCGTGTAAGTCAATGGATTTCAATGCATTAGTTTTGGGATGGTATTATTGTTTAGAGTTTTTGGGACCAGTTCTAGCTCCACAAAGAAGGGTTCGCTTGCTTCTTGACGGCTGTTACAAACTTCATGTAGTGTTGGAGAGCCAGTCGATCACCCTCAAATGGCATGCAAGTTTTAAAAATAACTAAAATTCATCTGTGTTTTTACAGACATTTTACCATCATTTGTTGGATCATGAAAGGATATATGGACACTTGCACACCACTGAGATCTTTGAGAGAGAATACAAAACAATTATGACTTTCTGGTACATGACCTTAATTCCAATTTTTGGGTCATGACCTATATTTCAATTTTTGGGTCATGACCTAATTTCCAATTTCTGGGTAATGATCTAGATTTCAATTTCTGAGTCATGAAATCACGACCCAAAAATTGAAATTTAAGTCATGACCCAGAAATCGAAATCTAGGTCATGACACAGAATTTGAAATCTAGGTCATGACCTAAAAATTGAAACTTATGTCATGAATCGAAAATTGGAATCTAGGTCATGACCCAAAAATTGAATGTGAGGGAATTTCATTACAGTGGGAATTGCATTCTGAATGCAACTTTTTTTGCACAGGTACTCGGTTGAAATAGATTGTGAAAGGTAAAAAATTTTATTCAAGAAAAAAAACAAGATAACAACAGATAACACGAATAATACAGCAAAGCAACAGTTATCAATTCCACATTCTTGACGCAACACAGTTTTCCGCACAGGCAAATGTTGCTGGACTGTTCCCATATAGGCTGTAGAACCACGTGACCTCCTGGAATTAGATTGGAAGATTGGCAGGTGAGGCTCACACCACGTTCCTGCACACTGATAACAAGATGATTATATGTTTGAGGAAATTCCTTCAAACTCGATCCATGACGTATGCCGTAGTCTGATCACGTCGTAGTTCTTCTTCTCCTAAGTCGGGCAGGTGCACTTGTTGAAAATATGCAACATGTTTTGTTTCCGAAGTATACAGCTTCTGCGTTGACAGGTTTCTTTTGTCTGGTGAAGAATTGAAACCAAAACCACCTCCGTCCATGTGATGCAGTGATACTGATTTTCGTCCATGAACTCCATATGTACGAATATCCTCATAACCCTGTTCATCTTAACTAACTTGGTCATCTTTTTTTGAAGAAAAAGTGAATATGAATCTGGAAAACAAAAACATATGAAAAATGTTATTAGTAAGTATTAGTTGTAAAAACTTACGCTGTTTCTGGATCCATTGAACAGATGATTTCGGAGCAAACAAAATAGGGTATTTTAGTATTTTCATGGGTAGTTTGTAGTAGTAGAAGAATATTTTCAGAAAAAATAAAAAGGAACATTTTTCCGAAGTCCATGCAGAAGGTCGTCAGGAAGAATATTAAGGGAGGAGAGGGTTACATGAGGGGGTTGAAATGAATGCTAATGGTAGGTATCTGACGGTATTTATAGGGACACTCGAGGGGCGGAGTCAAGTCCAGGTGTAATTTCTTCACCTACCCCTCTTCACCTACATCTCACTCTCTGTGGACTTTTATTGTAGTACTGTAGACTTAGAGTGGTATTGTAGACTTTTATTACAGTAATATCGGAATTCATGGTAGTGAGTTTTATCACAATACATAACTTTGTATTATTCCCTGGAGAATGGATGATAGTTGACGAGAGAGGAGAAACATTAAGGTGAAAAAACCGAAAGGAAAGCTTCTGAAAAAAGACATTAGTGATTCAATTCGAATTGATTTTACCGGCTAGATTCCTTCAAATTATCTAGGTCGAAAATCACAAATCTACAATTCTGAAAACACGTTTGGACTCTTGAATTTTTTTAAACCAGTCGATTTCCGCCGCCTGTCGGCGGCTACAATCTCCTGGCTTCACTTAAAACGTTTGAATCTCAAAATCGGAGAGAATCAGAAGACGAAGTTTTAGTTGATTGTGTTGTCAACTTTCATAAACTGGAGTGACCGTCTGTTTATGCGCCTTCTGAGCTAAACCTTCTGGCTCCCACTTAAACACCCTTAACCGATCGAGTTTGGGCTTGGACAGATAAATCAGGAATGTAGATCAGAAATGTGTCTTAGTGAAACTGTTTTTTTGAAGCAATATTATTGAAGCAGTATTTAGGTCATCCCCGTCTAACCACCCAGGTAATATTTTATAATTCGCGGTTTGAAGAGCCTATTTACGAATCGTTGAATTTCATATTAAGCATTTAATAACTTATGGACTTCAAAATTTACGAATTTTTTGAACTAATATTTTTTCGAATCCCAAAATATATTGGAAATTGACATTTCATAATTTTTTTCAGAAGTCCTGAATTTTCTTGAATTTTTTGGAATTGTGATTCTAGAACTTAAAGATTTCCTAATTTTCAAATTTCTATTTTCTCAAAATACTTCATTTCAGAACTCATGATTTCTGAAATTTTGTATTTTCGAGTTTCCGTATTTCCGACTTTCTGAGATTCTACTTCACAAATTCCCAAAATTTTAAATTTTAACACGAATCTGGTTTTCAGAATTTTCACTAAAACACATTTCTGAGTTTTTGATTCACAAAGTTTATGAACTTCCGAATTTTCTAAATTCCGAACTTTGACTTTCCGATATTCGGAACTTCTGAGTTTCTGATTTTTCAATTTTTTAAACTTCCCAGCTTTCGAGAAATTTTTTTCCAAATTTTCGAGTGCTCAAACTTTCAAATGTTTAAATTTCATAATTTCGAATATCTGAATTTTTGTAATTCTGAATTTCAGAAACATTGGGCATTTGAATTCTCTGATTTCCAAATTTTAAATTTTCCAAAGTTTCAAATTTCGGTATTTTCGAGTCAGGCCCTGATACCGAAAATTTTTTTTGTTGTCCTATCAAAATACTACCGATTACATATTTTTCAAATTAGGTAACTTTTGTGCAGAATTTTGTTGCAAACATTTTCATAAAAATTTTTGGGGAACACTCAAAAATGAACTGACTAACACTGTATTTGCTGGTCTATTCCAAACCTGTTCCTCCACAAAAGCCCGATCCCCCAGAAGTTCAGTCTCATAAAAACGAAAAAATTGAAATAGCTTACTCACGTTTAGAGATTTGGAAGAAAAACCTGGATTAAGTTCCAAAACTTGTGTAAACTTTCAAATAGAATGGAATACATAGTTGAAAAGAAATATTTTCAGAAAAATAGGAAGAAATATTCTTCTGACGTCCATGCAGAAGGTTGTCAAGAAAAATGTTGAAGGGGGATTGTATAAGGGGGAAATGAATACTAATCGTAGGTAGCTGGCAGTATTTAACAATTTACAGCTACAATATCCACAATAGCACAATCTGTGCAAACTCGAGCTCATCACCAAAAATGAATCCGCCCCCGATAAGAACGCCTAATAATAATAATGCTGCCATTTCATGTCCCTCTTCCCCTTTTATATGTAATGTTATACAAAACAAAATCCTCACCCAACACCTGTATTCACTAAAAATAAAATTAATGAAAAATTTTATATGCACTCTATTTAGATATTGATACATTGCATTCCATGCAAAATCAGTTCATAGCAATCTGAACTACAGGAATTATTGCAACCGAAGTTGAGTGAAAACTGGTGGGCGCTGCTGCATTTCCGGAATAAGAAATAAGGAATAAGGAATGAGGAATTCCGCTCATGTCTGATATCTATCCTCTTCAACATATCTTAATTATCTTATTCCCAAATTTTCAAGTCTTTAGGTTGACTTTCACACGAATCAGCACTTTGGATGTGTTGCAGTAATTTTGGCGCGCCCTGTAGTTCTTTACCGTTATCTATGTAATAAATGCGTGTAAATTTTCAAAAAGAGTTAAGGCCTTTAACAAATGTGAATTCATTCAAAGTAAAACAAGATTTCGACGTCAATTAATTTTCTTCTTCACTGTCTCTAGTAACTCGACTAATCCCTCTCCGGTTAAATGTTTATGCAGATCCTCTACGACCTTACGACTTTGAATTCGGCTTCCAGATCATTTCAACCGTGTTTTCGTCTAAAACCAAACTTTCTTACGCTGAATAACTTACAAAATCACCTGTATTCTTTCACTCCGCCGCAACTTTGGCTTGCTATTTTTTGATCTTAAAGAACTTTTCTACTCAATGCTGGTTTAACATGTTTTTGAAAGTTATCCTTGATTCAAGTGCGTCTTCCTCTTCGCGGCGTAAATGCTCTTGCTCCTGTTGCAAAGTCCAATGATTTCTATCTGAAGGAGTGTTGCGTGGAACTGTGTATTCCAGTTGAGAAGCATTTTGACGGTTTGCAATCACCAAAATCCATTGATTCTTTTTCGTCACCCATGTTTCTGCAATTCCAAAAACTTCAGAACGGCTTATGAAAAATGCTAAGTTTTATGAAGGCGAACTAATCACTATTTGATACTGTGCTCTTTTTGTGGTTCACTTACCTTTGAATGTCACAATCCGATTCAAAACGTCTTCAATCTGGTGTCGTCCCGACCGTTTTTGAGCTAATTTGTGGCAGCTGTCCGCTTCAGTAGCATTGATTGATGAAATCTCAAAGTTTTCCCTTCAATCAAGTTACAATTTTCCACATTCGATTTAACAGCTAAAGACGATCTTTATTTTGGGACAAAGCCTCTTTTTTGGCGCTCACCTTTAATTTTATATTAACTTCAAACAGGTTTTTTGATAATCAGAAAAATAAAAAAGAAGACTTCTAAACACTCGAAGTCACTAATAGTTAGTTGATAATTAGGTAATAATTGGTGGAAAAGTTGAGAAAAATCATATTGATGGAGACCTCTAAACACGAGGTCTTCAAGGAAATAACAAAATGAATGAATGGAGGAAACATTGAGAGGGTGTGCCCATTTGTTTGCTTTTGACAGAATATACTGATAAGAAGAAAAAGAGACTGACAAATAAGGAAAATTGGTCAAAATAGAAACAAAAATTTGTAAATTTGGGTCAAAGTTTGAACTGAAACTTGGTAAAAAAAACTTCACATTTTATTTATGCTAAGCTAGCGAGAAATGGGTCCTTGAAAGAGTTCAAGTTTTTTTTGAAAACATAATCTAAAATACAAGTTTCATGAAATTTTAATTATTCTTTTTATCTGAAAAAAAAAATGTAAAAACTTTTGTATTTAAAATTTCCAAAACTTGAGGACTAATAAATGCAGAATTTTGAAAAAAACTGAAGTCTAGGGCTCATTCTAAAATCGACTCTTTCAAATCAGGCAAATACTCACTTGATCATTTGCTATTTTCCCATTTGCTTTGAAAGCTCGTTTGCTATACTATCACTTGCTATGGATCTTTTGCTATTTTAGCTCATTTGCTAGTATTACTGGGAGTTTCTATGGATCATTTGCTATAGGAAAGCTCACTCGCTATGAGCGAGATCAGTTGCTATTTTGACTCATTTGCTATGAAATTCTCGGACTTTTTTCTGACTTCTGCAAGAAGTCTGTTTCCCTTTCGGCCTTTATCGTGTTTTTCTAGTTTTTTCCAATATGTTTTAGCTATAGATATTTCAATGAAGGGAGTAAAAAATCTTAGCTTTTTTATTGGGATGCATTGGAAGAAGAGTGACAAGTAGAAAAAGAAAAGTGACGAGTAGAAATGATGATTCATGCATATCCAGCCAAATGAAGGATTTGGCGCCAATGGGGAATCGTCGACAAAAATTGTACTTCCTGAATTTCTCCACGGTTAGCTCTGGATTGCACGACTCTTCTGGATTTGTGATTGTTGAATTGGAAGTGAAGGGCAAGGTTTCGACCAGGGAAAATGTCATGGGGAAGATGGCACTGAATGTAATCTTCCTCTGGAGATCTGAAAAACGAGTAACTATAAAAAACGAACACGATTGCAAAATGTACCTTCCAGGTGTCAGTCGTCCCGAATAGAAAACAGTCGACAAAATTTTGACTAGTTCCGGATGCGATCGGTAGACTCTAGTGAGCCTACTTGGCAAGAAACCACTGTCCAAGAGTAACTGATTTGGAGATTTCAAAACGGGAACGAGAGTCTTGATGGTATTATAGGGTTCCAATTGTTTCATATCTCCAAATAGGAAATATCTAATCTCAACAGGAACCTCCTCTCTTCTCATTTTCGACGTAAAAGTCGTCAACTCAGATGGTTGAACCATAGTGGATTCTTCAATCACAATCAATGTCGGGAAGAGTCGTGTTGGAAGGATATAAGATGAGGCGTAGCCGGTGAACATGTCACTTTTTGCAAAAAACACGTTTGGACGATAGTAGCCCAGGAATAAATGATACAGTTCGTCATCATTCAAACTCGACCAGCCATATCGTCAAGAGCAGCGATCTTCCATAGTGGCTACACGTCGACGATTTTGGTGAAGGGATGTGAGCGCACCTAAGAGTACATCGATCGTAGATTTGTTCGGGATGGGCTGTAAAAATATTTGTTTATTTAAAATCGTCAGAGACTGAGTATTTACTAACCCGTAGGCCATGTTTGGATTCGTGTTTTGCAATTCGTTCACAAAAACATGATTCATGACGATTCTATGGTCATATGGATGGTCTCGGAGGCCTTTCTTCGATTTCCAGTTTTTTGATTGCATGATGTTTAGAACGAACAGCAATTTGATGATGGTTCCGTGAATTGAAAAAAGTTCCCAATTTTGCGGCGTCCACCACTGCATTAACTGCCGCATTCGTTTCAGCTAAGAAAGCAACTCGAACGTTCGGATTGTCGGACACATAAGTCACTCCAGAAGCCACCGCCGTCAAAGTTTTGCCTGAAAAATAAGAATTGATGATGAACTATGGTTCATTCAAACTAACCACTTCCAAAACAGGCTTCCGCATAACGAAAGGTGACAGTTGAATCTAAGAAAATTGAACAAATCTGGATTTGTTCTGGAGAAAGAGGTCTTCCGATGGCTGTTGCGTAGCAATTGGATTGAGCACGAGACAGAGTGTGTGGTTGATCTTCACATTTATCATATACTTCGTCGTAATGTCCAGCATCATGAATTCTGACCTTTCCACGGTTGGCCTCAGCAGCCGCTTGAGCCATCCCAGCTAGGAGCACATTTCCAATTGATGTTTCATTATATTGTTTCTCCGATGAAATGAGCAGATCCCAGGCAGAGGCAACGTCGTATCTTCGGACAGCAAAAGTGCCTTCCTTTGTTAGGATTTTGCGGATTTCTTTCCAATCGGGATGGTTATTCACAATGTTTGGTTCCAGCGGATCAGAAGTAGCATGGAAAATATAGCTAAATTCACCAAAATAGTTACGAAGATGTACGGAATACCGAATACATCGACAGAAAGTTACTCAGCATACTTGGAATTTCAGTGAAACTGGAACAGAATCAATCATTTGTTTTCAGCCTAATGGTTCATATGAGATCACTGGAGCTTCTAGGAAAGGAATAGTGCGTATCTGACGAAGGAAAAAAGTTAGATATTTATGTAGTTTGATACGAGTAAATAAGGAATATGTTGAGCCAGACATATCAGTTGAATTTACCGTCATAACGAAAGGTTATGCATTCCGATTGAGGTTCACAGAAACGTCAGTTGAACTGTGACATTTGTGTCAGAAAGGACATGTTCAGGATTAAGATTAGGGTTGAAGGAGGTGCTAGATTGACGCCGGCAGTATCTAGGATAAAGAACCGAAGCAGAACAAAATTGTAGGTTATTCTAGATTGAGGTTTTTTAGGAGGGATCCGAATGGAATTCGCAGTATTTAGGACAGAAATGAGAATCTGCTTCATTATTTCTGTTTTCTAAATGAAGGAAAAGGAACGGCACAAGAATTCTAGTTGCTATGGTGCTCTATAAGAAAACAACATACGAGAAATTCCACACCGCAGTAGACAGTGAAGTCGTAGCGTGTAGTCATACTGTATTGGTTGGGACTTATAGAGACTCGACAATGTGATGGCTCGAGGTTACATTGTCCGTCTATCCGGAAACGAATAGATGAAGGTTTCAGGTCATTCTTCGGACAAGAATGAAACAGTTACATTTCTACAGAGCGTAGAAAGTTTATAAGGAGACCCACTCCAGGAGGAAGGAAAAGAGGATATAAAGGATAAGAGAAAGAGAGTGACACGTGAGGGAGTTGCAAATCCCGAACGGATCTGTAAATAAATATCAAAGGCAGTTATAGTGGCCGTATAACTGTACAAACATACAAAAATAACTACAACGCGTTACATTTAGGATAACTAGTCTAGAATCATTAGGGTATCGTGATTTGTATTTAGTTTGTTCGTTCGTAATCTTTCCTTAACCGTCAATTATTATGCCGTATTAGGAGGTACACCGTAATCACACTTATGGTTTCAGACTTGGCTACATCACAGCGTTTGTCTTTTTTGTGCCGATGACTATCTGGAGCGACGTTTCGATCAAGAAACACGTTGGCCAACTGGTCAAGCGTGCGCTTGAAATGCAGAAGAAGGGGCAGGACTTCTGTACTGGAGTGAAGGCAGGAGTACTGTCGTTGGATGATTCACAGGACACTTGTATCAAGCTGCATTCGGATATCAAGGGAACGTTGGATCGATTGGAAGGTTTGGAGGCATGGATTGAAGAGAAGGTCGGGAACGTAGCGGCAGAAGACGGGGAGGATTTAGCGGAGAAAGATGCGGAGAAACAAGGAAGAATCCGTGTACTCACTGAGTATACTGACAAAAAAAAATGTGAACACGACTGTTCGTATGTTGAATTGTGTCTTCCAAGACATACAGGCCATCATCGATGGTCAAGAGAACTGGCAGAGTAGCCCACCTACGTCTCCAGAGGACCTCGACGATCTTTGGGGCTGGAACGATAAGGTGAATGAAGAAGAAGATGATATCGAGAAAGAAGGCAACAGTGTTGTCAAAACAGTAAACAGCGGAGTACAGGACAGTGTACTATCACCAGGAGAAGAATGGGATAGACGGGTGCAAAGAGCCAATGAGATTGTTGCATTGGAAGAAAGAATGATGTTCATGGAGAACATGATTCGAGAAATGGATAAAGAGAAAAAGGTGAAGAATGATGGTGAGAAAGGAGTATTGAAGATGGCAGATGCCAAAAACAAGAAAGATAAGAAAAAACCTAAAAATCTAAAGGAGGATGACTCTGATTCTGATCTCTATTCGACTTCGAATGAGGACGAGGAGTATGACATGAATCCAGAGATGGAGACTACTCTATCTGAATCTTCCTCGGGTGAAGAGGACGCCAGAACTGTGCTCAGAGGAAATAAGAATAAGAGAGGCAAAAAGGAGCCACCTCATTCAAGAACTAAATTCTTGAAGATGAAACCTCTAGAATTGAAAAAATTCGATAGATCTGATGCCTCAAAATACGAGGACTGGAAAACGATGTTCAACGAAGGATATGGGAAAGATCCAAGAACCTCAAAACTCAACAAGTTGATCCAGCTTAAGGGACTCGTTACTGGTTTGGCAGAGGACTTATTGGAAGGTGTCAAACTGGAAGAGAAGAATTACAAGTTAGCATGGACCATTCTTGATGAGAATTTTGAGAAACCAGCCAATCCATTGTTAGCATTGGAAAGGAAGTTTAACAGGGTCAAAATTGATCAAAAGAACTTCCAACAAATGAGAATCGATACGAGCAAACTAAATGCTCTTGTAACAGATATGAAAAATCGTGGAATGAATGTGGATTCGCCACTGGTCTACGACAGATACATCGCGAAGTTTCCGGATGAGGTGGCAGAGCGCTTGACAGTGAAAACGCTGAGCGACAGCTTCAACGGCGACTTTACAAAGATTCAGAAATGGACCATGAAGATCATCACAGCGAAGGCAGCAATTGAGGAGAGAAGAGCCGAATTGCTCGGACCCAAAGATTTTGATGTGGCCCATATAGAACATACGGAAGTGAAGGAGAAACATGGAACACAGGGAGAGAAAGGAGGTGCAAGGAAGGAACGAAAAGACACATGTACCTTTCGTTGCACAGAATCACACAAGTCTTGGAAATGTCCCAAGTCGGCAGAAGAGAAATTCAAATTTCTGGTCCAAGAGAGACGTTGCACAGTCTGCTTCTCAAAAAAGCACTTCGCTCGAGAATGCAAAAACTTGCCGGCTCACAAATGCAAAATCTGCGGCAGAGGACACCACACAGGAATCCACGCAGCAGTTGAAACCGGCAACAAGAATAAAGGGCAGAGTAAACAACAAACAGGAAGACAGTACTCCAATGGAGGCAACTTCCAACCAGGAACTCATGGGTTTCGGATCCACAATGGACCAAACCAGGCTGTGGCCACCAGTGGCCAGCAGGGCGGAACTCATTAGAGTTCTGCTCCCAACCAACATGGCTCCGAAAGGAGCCCTGGGGCCAGCAACGGGGGTTGGCAGAGAGAACAAAACAGAAAAAAAGAGCATAATGCAAAATGAAACAGAAAAACATAATACACCTTCCCATGATGCTTCCACGATTATCAATGAAACAAAGGAAATGAAAAAGAATGAGAGTAAGGAGAGTAACGAAGTTGAGAATCAAGAGGTTATAGTATTCAGTGTTTCTAATGAGAACCAAGGCCAATCGGCATATTTACTATTAAAAACAAGAACAAGAGATATTGTGGCATTAGTAGACACAGGTGCTAATTGTTGTCTGGTATCTGAACAGACGGCAGTACAATGTGGATTCCAGAAAGTGAAAACTGTCACAATGAGATTAAAAGGTGTTGGAAGTGAGGAGGTATATGAGGCTAACGTCTACAATATTGTCACAGAAGGAAGAGTAATCAATGCCAGAGGCTATAATAAACTGAATACGAATATCAAAGTACAACCATTGATAGAAGAAGAGATGAGAGAATTAGAAAATATGGGAATAGACACAGCAAGGTTAAGGCAATTAGAACGCAGAAATGGAGAGAAGATAGATATGATTATCGGTACAAACGTAATTTGGGATTTGTTGAGAGGAGTAGAGACCAAGAAGTTTGGAAACCACAAAAGCATAGTCTGCACAGATATTGGAGACTTTGTGATTCCAACAACTATTGATAATAACAATGAGAATGATGAAGATATGGAAGTGTTCCACTATGCAAATGAAGAATACCCCGAAGAGAAAATGATCTACCTATGTCAGGATGAAGATGATAAAGAAGAAAAATCTCAGGCTCTATTGGAGAAATTATGGGCACTGAATGCTATAGGCATTAAAGAACAGGAGCTAGAAGAGGAGGATTTGTCTGAAATGGAGGAAGCTATGGCTGAATAGAATTCTTTTCGGACTCTATGATTGAGTAGAATTCTTTTCGGACTCTATGATTGCTTTGGGATGGACGGTGACCACAAAGAAACTGAAGATGTTCGTAAATAATCGAGTCAGAGCACTGAAGGCTAATTGCAAGATATTGGAAGATCTCCAGTTAGAAGTCAGTTTCCATCATGTGGAAACAAAACAGAATCCATCAGACTATACCACCAGAGGCCAGAGTACCTCAGATCTATTTAGAGATCCAGTTGTATCTGTAATGTGGAATAATGGTCCAGACTTCCTGAAATTGAATCCAAAAGAGTGGCCAAAACGATGGACAGAATCCACGACCATTCCAAAATGGTTAGAAAAAGCGATGGCAGAAGAGGTTGTGGGAAAGGAAGGAAAGGTGATGTATGAAGAGAAAGATGGAGTAGAGGAATACGTAGTACAGTTGACCACCGCAACAGAAGAGGACCCGAAGGAATATACATCAATCGTTCCATATGGATCCACAAATTCGTTGAGTCGCTTGATGAGAAATATGGGAGCTGTAATGAAGGCTGGGAAGAGATTTGCAGAGAAGCGAAAAAAGAAAATGGTAGGGAAGACCATGACAATGTATTGTGACAAGCCAGGAATAGAAGGATATGCGAAGAGAAAAAAGGCAATCCTATATTATATGATTGCTGATCATTACAAGGAAACAGCATCTAGAGCACAATACCGAATCCCATTGGATTTGAATCCCAAGCAGGACCAATTCGGATTGATCAGAGAAGGAACCAGGTTGTAGAAGTCCGAACTGGCAGAAGACACGAAGTACCCGATTATTCTGGTAAGAGAACACAAATTGACAGAAATGATAATGCGCCAAATCCATGTACAAAACAAACACATCGGCACGGAGCATTTGGTGGCAGAAAGCAGAAAGAAATACTGGATTCCTCAAGGAAGACAGTTGGCCAGGAAAATTGTACACACTTGTGTCACATGTAGAAAATTGAGAGGAAGACCTTTCAAGTATCCCGATATTCCACCACTACCAGCTATCAGAGTAATTAAATCTGGCCCATTTCGAAACGTTGGGATCGATTATTTTGGACCTCTGATGTATAAAGGATTGACTGGAGAAAGGAAATGTTGGGTACTCATCTGCACATGTCTAATAACGAGGAACATTCACTTGGAACTTGTATCAAATAACAGTACAGCGGAATTCATGTTGGCAATGAGAAGGTACTTCTCCAGAAGAGGAACCCCAAAAACAGTGGTGCTGGACAACGCCAAATGTTTCAAGCTCGGAGGACAAATCTTCAACAATGATATCAAGAAGTTGGCAGAAGAATGTGGAGACTTCACAAACTTTATGGATCAACATCCAATTGAGTGGAACTTCATCACGCCATTGAGCCCATGGAAAGGAGGAGTTTATGAAAGATTAATTGGAATTGTGAAGAAGTTACTGTATGCATCAGGAGACACAGCACAGTTTAACTACGTCCAGTTATTCACAACCATTACAGAGATTGGAGGCATCGTGAATGCACGTCCCATCAGTCACAATCCAGAAAATCCCAACGACGGAGAAGTGATGAGACCAGCAGACTTCATCAGTCCGAATGTGAAACTGGGAATTATACATGATGATGGTGGCAAGATTGACAACGAAGAGACAAGTACAACAGAAAGAGAAACAAGACTACATTTGGCTGGTCTTAACAGCCATATGAACAATTTATGGATGAAGTGGGAAGACATGTATCTTACCCAGTTGAAAGAAGCAAAAAACAAGAGGAAACATTATTCTATCACTCAACCGAAAGTGGGACAGATAGTACTAATGGAGGGACGATTAAGGTCCCAGCACAAGTGGCAGATGGCCAAGATCACGCAGGTACATCCGACTGACCAAGGTCAAATCAGAACGTGCCTTCAAAATAGGTGTAGTCAAAGAGTAATTGCCGAAATTTTGACACAAATTCCGAGAATTTTTGCAAAAAGATGATTTTTCATATTTTTATTCAATTTTTCGATCATTTCCGCAGAAAACTGAAAAATAATGGCGAAAATAGAAAGGAAACCGCTTCTGGATGTCTAAATTGCAAAAAAAAAAGAAATTTAAATTTGACATTTTTCCGCCGGATTTGCAAGCGCGCTCCATTGTGAGAGCAAATGGAGGTATCGAATTAAGACCCTGTACGACAAACGGATAGGCGACGAGGTTACCATCATCGGAAGCTAGCCATTCAGAAGCGAGATCCAAGAAGCTTCTTATCGATAAAAAGAGGGATGGACCACTTCAAAGATCGGAAGGAACACAATGTCAAAAGAATATTAATGCATATCGACGAGGAAGAGCAGAAAATAGATCAAATGAAACTTGTCATCCGACAAGTTCCAGAGATAAACGACGAGGATAGATTGAAAGAGCTGACCACGAAATTTGACGAGTTGAGGACGTGTAAATGAAAAGAGAGACAGGACGACGCAAGTACAGTAACACCACCAGCAGCAGAGTGTGCTGACGTCATCACCGAATCCATGCTGTGCGATGATATGTCTGACAGGTAATTAACGATTTTTAAAGCTTGAGAATCAAGTTATTTCTTCTTCAGTTGTACCCGCCGGCGTCGGAGTCAAAAGAGACAGTAGGCATCAACCAGTTCTTTCCCAGTCCAAGGAAATGGATGACTCCCGACACCGCGAGACGTCACCAAGAAGCATCGCTGTGGAAAAGACAAGAAAGAAAAGAAGGAGTCGTTGCGATAGCTGCTCGGAATCGGACTCTCGCCGAGGATATAACAGAGAAAGGAAATGAAGTGAGAAATGGAAGGAGACCAGAAACGACGGAAATTTTTTAATTTTTTATCCTCACATTTTGTTATGATTGTTTCGTTTCGTTGTTGTCTTGTTGTTGTTGAATGGATAAAAAGGCAACGTCCCAGACTTGTTTTTATTCAGCAGCGAGATGATCAACACCTGTTCCCCTCTGTCTGTGTGTCAATCTACAGGGTGGCTGAAAAGTATTGAGACACTTGTTTTTTGTTGTATTTTCAAAAATGGAGTTTCAACAAAAGAACCAGATTTATTTTTCAACAAATGATAGTAATAGAAAAGATATCAGAGGAGATATTCGAAGTTTGATCCTTCGGCCTTGATGCACGCCTTCAAACGAGCTGGAACAGAAGCGACGGTGCGCCGGAGGTAGTCATCGTCAAGATCATCCCATGCTTTGAGCAAAGCGGCCTTCAGTGAATCCACATTTGGGTGCGATCGAGCCATCACCTTTTCCTCCAAATATCCCCAAACGGAAAAGTCGAGTGGATTCAGATCGGGCGAGGAAGCGGGCCACATGTCCTTGCCCCAGTAGCCAGGGAAATGAGCGTCGAGAACAGCTTTCGTGGATTTCGAGCCATGGGACGGGGCCCAATCTTGTTGAAGAATGAAGGGTTGCTGGCCAAAGTGGCTAGTGACCCACGGACGTAAAACATCCATCAACACCAACTTTTGGTACACATCCGAGTTGATTTTCACATTTCTATCAATGAAAACCAATGGGACTTTACCTTCCGACGTCAATCCAGCCCACACCATCACTGACTTTGGAAAAAGTCTCTTGTAGGCCAGACGACGTTTTGGGGACTTTGCTTCGTCCTTTGACAACAATTGCCGAGCATTCTGTCGGTTCGGAAGCGGCTCAACCGTAAAAATGTTCTCATCAGTCCAAATGACTTCAGAGAGGCGGCGCACCTTGAGTGCGTCGAGCAACTTTTTCGCTT